TTTCTGCAGGACCGTCAGCCTCAATGTAAACAGCCTTTTGCTCACTGGTGCCCTGGCAGGCCTGGATGAAGAAGAGCTTGGGTTTCCCTGCCAAAGAGGGGCAATGGGATCCATTGACACTTTCCATCAGTTTCTTGATCAAGACAGGTTGACCGTCCACACCGTGAACACTCCCCTCTTTGCCGTGGCTGAGGATGCAGCAAACCAGACAATCCATCTGATTGTGGTCCCTTCCGCCGAGCTCCAGCATCACGGACAGAATCTCATTCCCTTTAAGGTCCTTCTCCAACACCGTCTCAAAGCCGAGCCATTCAAACACTTTCCACAGACACTCTGGAAGAAACACAGACAGATGCAAATACAAACATGTATACAAACAGACTCAAGTTTGCACCAGTTCCTTTTGAAATTTCAAAAACAAGATAAACACAAGATTACCTGCATCCAAATTGGTGCCCTCCCGTGGCTTGAGACCTGGAGCAAATTTGTAGTTGTTCACAATCAAGCAGATTCCTCTTTTTGCTGCAGTCATGGGATATTTTCCCAAAACCTACAGAGATAAATACTCAACTTAGGATAGGATATGACCATGGATCAATGGGGAAGTGCATGTCAAAAAAGGTCTATAGCAGGAAATGTACATTTTAGGTTACAGTTTGTTCATTTATAAACAGTCCTGAATACACAATCAATTACGGTAAATGTTTTGCTTTCCGGATATTGTAGGTAGACTGTGAGCGAAAACATAAAAGACCATCAAAGTCACAGAGAAATTAAACAATGATATCGTCATATCTTTTAATGGCATGTTCTCACCTCATTCATTGAAGAGAATATTTCTGAAGAATAGAAAAAGATCATTAGTATTAAAATTGTCACTATAATGGTAAAAAAACTAAACAATATACAGCATTTTACAGTTAATTGTATAACTTAATATATCGTAATTAAGTATAACAAGGAAAAATCATTTAACAAAACGTAATATGACATAAAAAAGACAAATACATGTACACCCACTCTTGCATAGTCATTGCTGACATACAAGCAAAGCGTATACTGGTTTATTTATTTATTTTACTATTTTCAACAAAGATAAACCATAACATGGTGATCCAAAATTATCTTTAAAAAGTATTTTACCTGCTAGTTGACGTGAGGCAGCCGTCTCAAGATCTAAAGATTGAGGGACCTGGAACAAACACAGGAAAAAAATCTGAACAAGACTTCATTCTCACTGCCTTACTGTTCGACAATTCAGAGATGTGGCAATAATAACATAAGAAATCTGTCACTGAAACTCAGAGCGTTTCAAAATATCGCAGAACGTACCTGGTTTTGATCATTTGGGAAGGACACTGATCTTTGCCGACCTGTTTCTTCAGCTGAAGGGCTGATGTTAGTTTCTGTTGTTGAAAAATACACACATAAACCAATAGAATCGTGATTTGCACAAAGACTAACACAAAGACGTGTGTGTGTGTGTGTGTGTGTGTGTGTGTGTGTGTGTGTGTGTGTGTGTGTGTGTGTGTGTGTGTGTGTGTGTGTGTGTGTGTGTCTATGGAGGTACTTGGCTACATTCTACATTGAGGGACAAAAGCATTACCACATCTTGTGGACTCATCCCTCTTTTAGAGACAAAACTCAAGTCCCCACAGTTAAAAATAATATTTCCTTTTGTAGTAAATATAAAACATCCTTTTAAATCATAATTTTCTTTTTTAAACAGTTGTCTACCTTTTTCCTCTTTCAGTATATTATTTGTATGGACCCTACATCCAAGTTTTGACTAGGTAATTGGTGCAAATGTAAATCAGAGTTTGAGATATATAATAATAATAATATAAATTAGGGAAGAGTTGGCATGTTGTGGGTATAGTGAGGTTTCTGTGCTGCTGTCCTCACCTCGCTACTCTGATAATGAAGTAAAACTTTATGAAAGTTATCCTGCGGCTTTCAGCTTCAGATTTGTGTCCTCATTCCAAATGTGTCATTACATATAGCATGTGTTATTTTTGTCTGTAGCTTACCCTGCAGTGCTTTAAAGCGGTTGATGTTCTCTTTCAACGTGGGACAGACTGATTGGACAATGGTCTCCAGTAGCTTTAGATTAGTGTCATTGATGAGGTCCATGTGCTCCATCGCCAGGAAGACCTCCAGTGTAGACTGACAAGTGGATCAGATTACAGTTTTTCTTTTACACTTTACTGAATAAGAGCTTATTTGATGCTTATTTGATGCCTACTTAGATTAATTGGCATAAACACACTCAATCTCAACTTCTAAAAAAGGACTCTGTGATGATGTACTCACAACATTTTCCTCCAGTTTTCTACGGTCAAGCTTTCCGATTAACAAGAACTTTACATTTCTCAAGTCGTCATCAGTAATTCCCTCAGACAGGTTGTAAAGCAGCTTTCTGTAATAATAGAAAAAAAGATTAAAAGCAAGTAAAACTGTTTAATGTTCTAAAGGAAGCCAAGTGTTTAACTGGATATTAAGTAGACACCATTGTGAGGTCACCAAATACATTTAACAAAGAGGATGCACCTCTGATTAGGAACCGTTTCTGTATGCTTAAATGCTTTCAATTGATGAGTTGATTTTTAGAATAAAACAGTAAAATTGTTTAAGCCATATTTTTGGTAAAAATGTACCCACAAATATGTGGTTCCAGCCTTTTGAATATGCAAATGTTCTGGTCTTAATGACCTTTTATGATGTTGATAAATGGTGGTATTATAAATGGTATGTTGTTGAAAATGTCCCCTTGAACTGTGGACTATATTTGGACATTGCAATGACCTACAATTAATCCATTCATCATGCAAATCAACTGCAGGGTGTTAGTTGCAACCCTATTTCACTGTTATATCAGCTGTAACCACGCACAACTTATTAAATCTGGCCTAATGTGCTAGAGGTTGAACATGTGAACTAATTTAAGCAACAAGTACACATATCAGCCCTGATTTTGGCTGTAAAACAAGGATAAGAATTCTTGTAAATTCTATTCAAATCCTTACTACACACAATAAAAATTGTTTGGCAATATGAGTTTTTCAACCATAGACTTTACAATTGTTTGTACACATAATTTCATAAGCTCATTCCTTTAATGACCCTTATTCAAATACTTAAAGTTGTATATTAGATTGATGCGTTACTATAGAGATATACATTTGTTAGCGCTCTTCTGGGTAATGCACTTAATTATTTACGTAAAAACAGTAAAACGTAGGCAGTACACCTGTAAGGAGAGATGAGGTTGCTGGTTGTAAAGTCGTAGAGTCCGAGGTCTCGGATCAGACGGTTGCGTTGGATGATGAGGAGAAGTTCCTTCACCAGGTGTGGTCGCTCCGCAGAGAGGTGGTCTTTATCTTGCAGACGACGGAAGAGGTCTCTGGCCTCCACTGAGGTCTGGTTTCGGTCCAGGAGGTCAGTGCAAAGATATGCAAGAGCTTTTACATCGTCCCCAGATATGTCCTTCCCTACATCTAAGAGCAGCTTCTGGAAATCCATTTTGAGAGCTAGAAAAAAAGTGACAAACTATTTAGGCCTGGCAATAAAAAGAATACATCATACCAGCTCCTCACAGATAATTTTTCATTTTATATCATATTTTTATTTCACAGAAATATATTAAAAGCAGTAAGATTAATTATGTTGTATTTAAAATGGCCTGACTAAAACTGGTTAAAACGGAAACAAATCAAACATGATTACAAAAAGGGAACTTCAAAAGATTGTGCAAGATAGTATATAAGATTATAACCAATGGAGTATACTGTTATGTCAAATATGTGTAAAACAATTTGACGATGATGACTATTCTGGACCAGATGTATTTTATAGCCCTTTATCTACATATTGCAAATGGTTTGTCCTATAGTTGAACATGTCCTTTATCTTTATGTTTATCTACATGTTGCAAATTAATGTACCTTTAGCTTTAGTGTCTTTATGGGCATATATGTGTTTGTCAGAGAGAGAAAATCTGTTTAAGAAAATAAATCGTTTAAGAAAAACGTTTAAGAAAATAAATCTCATGACAAGGAAGAGATCACGTCACTTATCTCGAACAGTAGCAGAAAGGCAACAGCCTTACATTCCATCACATGATCAAAAAAACACTCACAGCCACGGCGATTAATAAGCATCCAAAGATTTTGATTACATTATTAGCTCGACTTCACCCTTAAACCAGATGAATTCACTTTAAAACGTGTCCTGCTGTGTAAGTGTAAGCCTACCCGTTTGAGTGTTTTTAGCAGGTCTGACCGAACAGGCTATATGTTGTCCACTTCAACATACTCCCAGTACAGAAGGTGATCGTAAACAACTGATACATATTTGCATAAATATTTGTTTATAAAACACAATAACTTAACGTAGACGTGTCAGACCGGGCGTAGCTTCTCGCTAAACAGGTAAGGAGAAGCAGGAAGTTGACATCGAAAGTGAAAGAGATGCTTTTATTGGCTCAGTCAGAGACGTCACTTGTGTGACGCAGTTGCCCATATTTTGACATCACTTCGGGGCTAAAGTGCTTTGACCCCAGAAACAGACAGGTACTTAAGTTATCAAACAATGACTTCCCTGTCATAAAGTAAAGTTCTACCAAAATCACTTCACACATATTCTAACACTTCCCCTACTGGTTATACTAATTATATTAAGAGATTCCTTTGAAGGAATAATTGCTTTTGCACAAAATAGGATTAGCAGAAGATTGCATTTTCTTACTTTTGGTAAATTCCATAAACATTCCATAAACAAGACACAGAAAAACAAAAAAGGCTAGCACGGCAGCTCCCCAGGGGGATGTGACCTTGGGTATATCATGACCTTTTTCTACATTTTTCGAATATTTTTTAACATTAATAATATAAGTGAATTGGAGAAATATAGAAAGCATAGCTTACTTTCTTCCGATTTTCTTTCAAATACCTTAAGCAACAGAAACCATTCAAATGTCAAAACGTATATGAACATTTATTCTGGTATTGCTGTTTTCTTCATTCAGTATGTATTCTTGAACCCTCCTAGTATTACTGTTTAGTTTACAGTTTGTATAACAAATAAAATATATTTCAGCTCTTAGCTTCTCAAGATAATACATCTCAGATTTCAATTTTGACAGTTTTTTATTTCAACTTCCAGGTTCAACAGCAGTGCAGAGCAACACATATGGGACAAATGTTTAAATACATTTTTGAGCAGGGCTGCAGATAACACTTTTCCTAAATGTTGTAATAATAAAGTAGAACATATTGTATATGAAGTATTTTAACATTATGAGAAATGCCCATCACAACTTCTTAGAGTTTGAGAAAACAAACACACAAAATAAGTATATGGTACCTTTGTTTGATTTGCTGGAAATGAATCAGTTTATCAGACAGAAACATCATGTGTTGGTTTAGTTCAGTGCATATGAACAGTGAGAATGAACAGGAATTATTATATTACAATGCATTTTCTCATTGGTAAATCTCTGTTAGAACACCACAAGATGTCCTGTACTTCTGATGATTGATTGATAACTGCACTTATGTCTAAAGTAAAATCAAGCATATATAAAGTTACATTTGGGAGATCATCTTGTGTATGGGGATTGTACCAAGAATATCTGACTTTTAATGCCTTTTAATAATCCAGGAACATTTCAATTAACATTTAAAGAGCTGGATGTTGCATAGATTGCTGGTTGTAAGTGCATGATTAGCACAAACTCAAATGTATTGATGTTGTACACTATATATATATATATATGTATATATATATATATATATGTATATATATATATATATTATGTAAACATGTGCAGCTTTAAATCGAGAAAGGGAATTTAACTTGTGTGTATACTGTATGTATCATACCAGGTGTATTTATACAAAATTTTTTCAAAATGTATCTATTTCCTCAGCTGTAATCCTCTCTCTTCAAAACTACATTTCATATTCTATATTATCAAAAGGAGCTGTCTCAGGTGTTGGTGAAAACACTGTAAAAAACCCTTGTAGATACTGCTTTATAACAATAAATCCAGCAGATTAAAAAGGTGAGTAGTCGATGTAAAACCCTTGTGTCTCAGTCAGATCATCTGACAGCAGATTGTTGTTGTCATGGTCACAGGCTGAGAGGACGGGAGGACGGGCCTTCGGGATCGGAAAGACGATATTCTTCCTGAGCATGGAAACTAGTTGAGGCATCTGCTTGCTTATACCATTGGACTTCTTGCTAACATCTGCATTCACCTTGGTCATGATAGACCCAAGGTNCTGTCAGGAGCTATTTGCACAATGTGTGTGTGAGTGTGTGTGTGTGTGTGTCTGTATGTGTGTGTGTGTGTGTGTGTGTGTGTGTGTGTGTGTGTGTGTGTGTGTGTGTGTGTGTGTGTGTGTGTGTGTGTGTGTGTGACTTAGAGCTCATTGAGGAGTGGAGGGCACTTTGTAAGCCAGAAAAAGGTAAATGTCACCTTCCCTTTGGGGTCTCTGCTCCCAGACTGTCGTTGTGTGTCTGTCTGTAAAGGTTGTCGAGGTAAGTCTGTTCTCTTTGTCTCTCTTTATCTCCTCACCTCTTATTCTGTCTCACTCAGACCTTCTGCACAAATTCACAAAATCTTTAAAACATTTTAGAGAACAGATGTATTCTCCTAAACCGTTTCTAAACCTGCTGGGGATTGAATGAATGTTTACAACCATGAAGAGATGCAGCCACTGGGTATACAGTCTTTTTTCTCTCAGGTGGACGTGTTTACAGGCACCTGAAAGCAACATCAATAAATAAAAACAACTGAGCAGAACATTTCTGTCCACCTGCAGCCTCAGATAGAACCGTCCACCCACAGAGCTTCCACCACCAGGTTCCACTTTGATTTCCTTATGTTTACTTCATCCAGGGAGAAATAATCAGATAACAGTTCACACAGAACGTTTCAAAATGCACTGAAAAGAAAACATAATTGTAGGTATTTCAAACTATGTTAATAAATACCAATGTTCTCATACAGAGAATTAAGACAGTAATTCTCTGTATGAAAACATAGGTGGTATTTTTCTATACCGCTAAGGCTCCCTATAAGTGCTTTTCCCCATGTCTGATGAGGCAGAAAACATCTAAGGAGAGAAAAAGTTTCACTTAAAAAGTTTAAAGAGGACATATTCTGCTAATTTCCTGGTTCATATTTGTATTTTGTGTCTCTACTTTGACATGTTCACATGCTTTAATGTTCAAAAAGGTTGCAGACCATTTACATGCACACAAACCTGAAAAACAAACCACAGGAAAGGGAAACCCCAAAAAGCACAATAGGGCCTTAAATGTACAAAACCATAAAGAAATAATTGTATCAACATATCAATCAAATAATTCATAATTAAGAATATCTTATTTAACTGTTTGCTAACTGGCTGTTTATCTGGAACGAGCTATACAATCTGGTTGTTATTATAAAAGATAAAAAAGACTTGTTCGATAAATTACTTCAAAGTACTTCTCAGAGTAAGCTGGAGAGTTTTTATCAGGCAAGCAGATACTTGAACACATACAGAGATAAAGGTTCCAGTCATGAATGAATATCAAATCAACATTGACTTGTGTTTGAATACCCAATCTCCCCATCATTGGTACCACGAGAATTAGCCTTTTTGTAAGAAACTGTGAAAGGATCTTAAGTGCATCATTATATGTTTAATTGTACTGAGACTAAACCTCTACAAGTTCACTGCTTAAGATATTACAGAGTTATTGCCAGCTGTGCTTTTTGATTATAGCTATGAACATATTCTCATATTGAAATGTGTGCTTATAAAAAAACGTCTCTCTTTAAATAAACTCAGCAATACAATTAAAAAAAACCTGTGAAGTTATTCAGTCACCCTTATGTTATCAAAGCAATATGACTACACACACACACACACACACACACACACACACACACACACACACACACACACACACTTCTTTGAGTGGTGTTGATTTGTTTTTCTTATTTTAGAATCCAACTTCCTCCCCTCCTGATCTTATTTCCTGACACTAAGATTCACCGGGGCAACAAAATAAAGTTGGCTAACGCGTGATCACATGACACCAAAGAGCTGAGAACACACTAGTTTCCTTTTATATGATCAGCTCTCTGCAACAAGTGCAAACAACTTAACTACAACATAGTTATAGACACCACGGCAGGTGCAACAAGCATTATCAAGCCACACAAATTAAGCATTTCTTATTGTATCAACAGCAGAATAAAACACTGATACTGACACATCATGCACATGTACGGAAGAGGATGAGGGCCACATTATAATTTTTTTTGGGAGGATTTGAAAAAAATATGATTTTCTTTTGTTCTCAGAATTCTGACTTTTTCTCAGAATAACATTTTTTTTAATGTTTTTTTGTTCTGAGGAAAAAGTCAGAATTCTGAGATTAAAGTCAGAATTCTGACTTTTTTCTCAGAACAAAAAAAAAACGTTTTTTTTTCAAATCCTCCAAAAAAAACAAAACATGTGGCCCTAATCCTCTTCCGTAGACATGTATTAGAGTGAATATTGAACTTTTTCACAGCGGACATCGGTCATACTAAGAAACACACATTGATGAGTTAGATAAGGTGGTCATTCACAATAACAGGAATTCCCTCACTGATGTGCTTTTTCTTCTTTCAGCTCAAACACTCGCTGAACACCCACGAGAGTTTTTGCATGACATTGTTCACGTCTTTTTTGTCGGACACTGAAGACGTTTCACATTGTAACAGATGATGGATGCTTGTCTGGTGAGGACAGAGCCTGCACATGTCGCTGCATTGCTCCATTCAGAGTCCATCATCTTTCCATCTCGCTTTTTTCCACCTCAGTCCCCACTCCTCACTCCCCTCATAATAGGATTCATAGATCCAGACACACGTTCTATTCAATGCAGACAATGGGGGACTCTCAGCACCCACCGGGAGGAAATAAGAACTCTGAAGCAAATAGGACTTTCTGACTGTGTGTGTGTGTGTGTGTGTGTGTGTGTGTGTGTGTGTGTGTGCGTGCGTGCGTGCGTGTGTGGCCCCCGTACCCTATGATATAATCACGGGTGACTGCCCAATATGACAGACTATAATGAGAAACAGTGTTGGAAGAGGGGGAAAAAATGGACGACTGAGTGTCCGTTCATGTGCGTGTCTGAAAAAAAGAAGAAGTAGCTACAAGTGAGAAAAGAGGAAAAATAAATGAGGATATGAAGAAGTCCTAGCAACAGGCTCGTCCTAATGACTTTCCCTTTGCCTCATCTTCTCCCCCCGCGCTCATATCAACCCTGTAACTCAGCAGAACTAATATCTAGACGACTCCCAGAGAAGGTGGGAGTATTTCTGGGCCCCCCGACTTCCAATTATAAGTCCATTTGGTCACGGATGTTTGAGGAGCGAGAGCGGAGACAGAAA